CACTTTCACAGATTCCAGGGATTAAGATATGGACATCTTTAGGGGTACACTCTGCCTACCTTGAGTCTGCAGCTGAGTACAAAGGAAAGAAAAACCCATAATGAGAAGAAAAATAAGTTAAAACTGGCTTTGAATTGACACAAATTCAGAATTGATAAACAAGAATATTTTCATGAAGTTGCATTCCTTATTGGAGGCCCTGAGGAAGAATTTGCTTCCAGACTCATTCAGGTTATTGGCTGAATTTTGTGGTAAAATATAAAAGGTTTTATTATATAAGTCTTTTAAAAAGATATTGGCTGCTTAAAAAAATAGTAACAATGTACTGTGATTTTATAACATACACAGGTAAAATGCATGACAACAATGCTCAGAGGCAGAAGGAAAGATAGAAATAGACTATTGGAAGGTTTTTATGCTGTACTTGAAGTATTTCAAGTGATAACTTGAAAGCAGATTGTGATGAATTAAGGTGTATGTGATAAACCTGCAAATAACACTAAAGTAGCTCAACAAGGAGATATAATCAGTAAGCACTATAAGAAAAATTTTTAAATGGAATCATAAAAAATAGTTAATCCAGAGGAGCACAGAAAAAAGAAGAAAAAGGGCAGATAAATGGGACAAATAGAAAACAAAGAGCAAATCAATAGACTTACACCTGACCATACCAGTAAACACTGGTGATCTAAACATTCCAAGTAAAAGACAGGGATTAGGGGCTCCTGCCTGGCTCAGTCAGAAGAGCATGCAACTCTTGATCTTAGGGTTATGAGTTGGAGCCCCACATTGGGTGTAGAGATGACTTAAAAGTAAACTTTTAAAAAGGACAGAGATTATCAGATTGAATGAAAAGAAAAGACTCAAGTATATGCTGCCTATAGTAAATCCATTTTAAATATAAAGACACAAATAGGTTTAGAGCAATAGAAGAAAAAAGGCATAACATGCTGATTCTAATTAAAAGAAAACTGGAAAAGGTATATATTATTATTAGGAAAGGTGTGGATTTTGCCAGGCATAAATAATGAAGGACTTAATTCATCAAAATATATGATATGTTCTTTAATGACAGTGAAATTAAATGGGAAATCACTAACAGAAACATAGTTAGAAAATTCCTCAGTTAGGGGCACCTGGGTGGCTCAGTGGTTGAGCATCTGCCTTTGGCTCAGGTTGTGGGGTCCCAGGATCGGGGCCTGCATCAGGCTCCCCCCGGGGAGCCTACTTCTTCCTCTGCCTGTGTCTCTGCCTCTCTCTGTCTCTCATGAATAAATAAGTAAAATCTAAAAAAAAGAAAATTCCTCAATTATTTGGTAACTAAATAGTAGGTCAAAGAAGAAATGAAAAGGGAAATTTGAAAATACTTTGAATTAAATGAAAACAAAAATAAAAGATTTGAAAATTTATAGCACTAAAATGCATGTTTTAGAATATAAAAAAGGTCTCAAATCAGTGCCCACAGTTATATAACATACACAGGTAAGATGCATGACAACCAGGGAGAAGACAGCAAATGAATACCAAATTAAGAAGATTGGAAATAAAAAAAGATAGGAGAATCAGTGAAATAGAAAACAGAAAAAATACAGAGAAAATGAGATGAATAAAACTGATAAAGGTGCAGCCAGGTTGATTAGCAAAAAAAAGAAGAGACAGCAATTACTAATACCAGGAATGAAAGAGATGACATCATTATGGATTTTACAGGTATTAAAAGGATAATTAGTGCACATTGTGAACATCTTTAGGCCAATATCACACTTTAGAGAAATGGAAAAAATTGAAAGGCAAAAACTACTAAAGTCTCTCAGATATTGTAGAAATGCTACAAACAAAACTGTAGGCCAAGAAGACTTGACTGTCAGTTCTACTAAATATTTAAGGAAGAAGCAATACCAATTCTACACAGGCTCTTTCAGAAAATTGGAAATGAAGGAATAATTCCTAATTCACGGTGCCCAGCATTACCCTGATTCCAGAACTAGACAGACATTACATGAAAAGAAAATTACAGGGGATCCCTGGGTGGCGCAGCGGTTTGGCGCCTGCCTTGGGCCCAGGGCGCCATCCTGGAGACCTGGGATCGAATCCCACGTCGGGCTCCCAGGTGCATGGAGCCTGCTTCTCCCTCTGCCTGTGTCTCTGCCCCTCTCTCTCTCTCTCTCTCTCTCTCTCTCTCTGACTATCATAAATAATAATAATAATAATAAAGACCATTTAAAAAAAGAAAATTACAGACCAATATCCTTTATGGACATATTTGCATGAATTCTAAACAGAATTTAGAAAATCAAATATAACTATGCAAAAAAGAATAATACAGTATGACTTTTGAAAAATCAGTGAATGTAATTTCAGTATTCAAACACTAAAAAAGGAAAGTCACCACAATACATGCAGAAAAAGCAGAAGAAAAATTGAATATTCATTCTTGATAAAATCTCTTTGCACAGTACGCATGAAAGGGAATTTCTTCATCCTAATAAAAAGCATATATAAAAACCCTACAGGTAACATTGTGCCTAACAGTGACAGACTGAATGCTTTTTATCTATGAATAGAAACAGGGCAAGGATGTCCCCTCTCATCACTTCTATTCAACTTTATTGTGGTGATTTTTAGAAAGTACAGGACATTGAGGTTGGAAAGGAAAAAGAGAAACTGTCTCTATTAACAGATGATATGGTTGTCTATATAGATATTGTGATGGGACCTATTATTAAAAAGCTATTAGAAACAAATGAATTTGTAGGGTTGCAAGATACATATTAAATATACAAAAATCAATTGCCTTTCTCTAAACTAGCAACAAATAATTGGACATTGATTAAAAAAATGCCACTTGTATACAGTAGCATTAGAAATATGCTTAGGATGCTTAGGGATGTGTGAGACTATACACTATAAACATAAAACAGTGCTGACAAAAATAAAAGAATGCCACAATAAATGGAGAGATACACTGTGTTGATGGATTAGAAGACAATGTTAAGATGTCAGTTCTCCCCAGATTGGTCTGTTGATTCAGTGCAATCTCATTCAAAATCCTAGCAGGCCTCTTTTTTTTTTTTTGGATAGAAATTGAAAAGCTGACCTGAAATTCAGATTGGAATTCAAAGGACTTAGAATAGCCAAAACAACTTTGAAAGAGAACAAAATTGGAAAACTTACTACCCAACTTGAGGATTGTTTTAAGGCATAGTAGTCAAGATGGTGTGGTATCTGCCTAAAGATAAATAGATCAACTTGATAGATTAGAGATCCCGGAATATATCTACATATATATTGTCAATTTACTTTCAGTGAAGGTGCAAAGGCAGTTTGGTGGAAAAAGGGTGTTCTCTTCTACAAATGGTGTTGGAGCAATTGGATAATCAAAGGGAGAATATGAACTTCAGTCCATACCTGGCACCATATACAAAAGGTGACCCAAGGAGGTCATAGATGTAAATATAAAGCTTAAAATGTAATCCTTATAGAAGGAAACATAGGAGAAAGTCTTAGTGTTACTGGGCTAGACCATAATTTCTTGGGTAAGATGTCTAAAGCATGATCTATAAAAGAAAAAATTGATAAATCTGACTTTGTCAAAATTAAGAAATTTTGTTCTTTGAAAGATACTTATTAAAAGGATGAAAAGACAACCTACAGATGGAGAGAAAACATCTGCAAATTATATATTTAATAGAGCACTTGTATTCAGAGTATATAATAAGTAATCTAATGACACTGGGCAACAGACTTGAAGAGACTCTTCACCAAAGAAAATATAAATGGGTGGCAGATAAGTTCATGAAGATGTTCATGTCATTCTTTATTAATCAGGGAAATGTAAATTAAGACAGTAAGGAAATGCCACTGTACACCTGTTAGAATGACTGAAACTGATAAGACTGTTCATCCCATATTTATGGTGAAGACAGAGGGTTTTGTATTTTGTTTGTTTCTCTAACTCCTGTCTTGGAACAGCATCTTCTAAATAAGGGGGATGAAAGCACATCAGTTGCCTGTTTTCCAAAGCACTGAATGATAATTGCATATGATAGATTGAATTTATGCTTAACATGATTTTATCTTTAACTCTTGATTTTATAAATATTATAAGCATTATTTTGAAAATTGTCTTTAAATTTGCATGTTTTACCTCTAAAAGTTGTAAGATGTTTGGCCAAATATAATCCCAAAGACAAACTTAAAGTCTTCTTTATCTAAATCTATTTTTATTATCATCCTAGTAGCTTTTTATTGTGATTTTATAAGAGTACAGAATGTGCCAGAAAGGGAAAAGGTGATATGAACTTGCCTGCCTCTCTTACATTTTCTTTCCAACTTAGAATCGCTTACTGAAACTTCTTTGATACAGTGGTTTTTAAAAATCCCAGGAATTAACTCTGCCCCTGGCAGGCTCTGCAACCTTACCTAAGTTATATAACCAACCTCTGCCTCTGTCTTGTGGTGGGATTACTATGAGGCATTTGTATAACATTGGTAAGTCACTCAGAATAGTACTTGGCACAGAAGGACTCGATAAATGCTAATTGTTATCTTTAGTGTTTTTATTAGGCTTAAATGATATTATGCATGTAAAATGTCTAGTAGAATATCTGGCATTAAGTGCTCAATAAATGCTAGTGACTAATTTAAATATTCAGGTGCCATATGTCTAAAGAGACTGTGTTTTTGGATCTCTGCATTTGTCATATCTTTGGTGAATTTGTTTTAGAACATGAGGAAAAATATTTCTAGTTTCTATATTGGCATTTCCTAATAGGTACAACTTACAAAGTTACAGAAATTTGGATGTGTAATTATTTTCTCATTTCTAAGTTTAGGTGATTTGTTAGGTCACTCTCTTGAAGTTTATGTTTTTATTATGAAAAAGTCTAGATCTTTAAAAAAAAGTATAGATCTTTGACTAATATTATAATTTAGTATAGTAATTTCTTTTGACATGGCCTGTCTCTGATCTTTCTTCTGTTTTTGTTACCTCTTTATAGGTTTGTGGAATCTTGCTTCTCTCTTTTCCAACCTTTGTTTATTTGTGTTGATGCCCTTTGCCTTTTTCTTTCTGGAATCTGAAGGTTTTGCTGGCCTGAAAAAGGTAAGTGAATCAAATTTTGGAATTAAATTTGTTGAATTAAGAAGTCCATGTAAAAAAAAAAAAGTCCGTGTCATTCATGTTGAGCTACTAAAAGCAGGCTTGAACAACCACTTGACTGGAGTATAAAAAGTTTAATTAGTAATAACAACATCTTATTAATATTAATCGTGTTAATAATATTAATAAAATTGCATATTGAATGATTTTGTGTGTCCACAGTGCAGAAATCATCTTCTGGCTTTTGAATGTTTTTATAGTACATACAAACTTGGTGGAATATTTGTAGAGAATAAAGCTGATAAAATAGCTGTTTTTCCTTTCTTAGGGTCTCTCATTTAGTTTAAAGCAGGACATGAACTTCTCAAAATCTTAAAACATATCTTGATGTAAAAGTTATTTTACATCCAGTATTTTGGAGAGTGGCATTTATAAAATCAGATGTCCTCCTTTAGATAGTCACGTTCTCAAGATACTGTGAGTTACTGATCTTAGTAAATATGGCACGTTAGAAGTGAGCAAAATAGGAGACTTTGCAAGAGCATCTTAAACAATCAGTCCATATTGTATCAGTGGCAGTAGCTTCATCTGTCTTTGAATATAACATTTTAAAGTGAAATGAATGATATTTAATGATGTTTTTGTTTTTAGTTTGTGGAGGTCTTTGCTATAAACATTTGGAAAATAATACAAAGATTTAAGTAGTTAATACTTTTTGGCAAAATGAGTTCTTGGTGTTACAGTTTATTTATAGACACATCTTTTTATTTTTATTTTTTTAAAAATATTTTATTTATTTATTCATAAGAGACACACACACACACAGAGAGGCAGAGACACACAGGCAGAGTGAGAAGCAGGCTCCATGCAGGGAGCCCAATGCAGGACTCAATGATCCCGGGACTCGATCCTGGGACTCCAGGATCACGCCCTGGGCCGAAGGGAGGCGCTAAACCGCTGAGCCATCCAGGGATCCCCTCATTACACCTTTTTAGTTGTTAGTTCTATTTGTATTGTGATATATGAAGTGAAAGGATGCCTTTGTATCTTATTCTTGAATAATACTGTAATGCCAATTCAGTAAGTTTGGCAAGGGAAGCTGTAAACTGTGAATTTTTATTACTTTTTATTTCATATAACTTTTTATAGGTACTTAGGAATGAAATTTTTCAGTCTCACATTTTGACAGGTCTTCTAATTTTAAACCTTAAGTACAGCATTTTTTAGATCTGTGCATTGAAGTATGCCAGGAAAGAGTCACTGAGAGGTGATAAAGTGTTGTTTTAGTGGATGCACCTTTTTACTTTCTAGATACTATTCCATACTTGAATAGTTTGAACTTGAAAATTCAGAGTTGATTTCACATATAGTAAATGTACTGAGATCAGAATGGATCATTGTGTTTGGCAGACAAATCTGACATTGAGAAAACTGGCTTTGATGTATTGGAATTGTTTTTTTTTTATCATGATGTATTTAAATTATTTAGGTCATCTGTATAGTGTGAAAGAATTTTGTAGTTTCAGTTTAGAAACCTCTTTTGAGTGTTTATGAATTCTTGAAAAAAGTATAGGAGTTTTGCTCAAAGGGATTCAGTGCAAACTTTCCTTTTATAAGGAGAAAACTGAGGTCCAGATATATTAAATGTTATTAAGTTGTCTACGGACCACATATGTACAATTCCAGAACTGGTACTAAAACCCAGGGTCACTTTTAGCCTTCCCAAAGTGGTTGTGTTCTTCACATGTCAGCACTGTGGAGAGTTTATTGAGGCTGACCAAGTGGATGAAGTGGTCAAGGACAAATGGGGCTGGAGCAGGAAGGAGGACTCTATGGCCTCCTGGCAGAGGAAAGAAGCAAAGGAGACTGCTGAGCAGGCCCTGTCAGAAGGCAAGGGAACAAAAGGAGTGTGATCTTCTGGAAGACAGTTTCTAGAACAATGGAACGTAAAATATTATGTTAAAGAGGGCTAGAAAGAATGAACATTAAGAAGTGAGAGCATTGGAGACACTTGAGAAAGCAATTTTTTGTATAATTTTAGAGCCAAAGCTTTTGATGGATATTCATTTAACAGAGTTTTACTAAGTACCTACTAGGAACTAAGTATTCTACTATAGGGCCTTTCTGGGGACAAAATTGAAAAGTCAGGACTCCTGCCTTCAAGGGATAGACAGAGGAAGAAAGAAGAGGTGCAGTCGAATAGGACACAGTATGATGAACTTTTATACAGCCAGCTGTGATGGGAGACACTGAAAGGAGGAGATCTTGATTCGCCCAGGAGATTGGAGAGGGCTTTGTAGGAGGAGTCTGCCTGCACTTGAGCTGAGACTTGAGGGATGAGCAGGCTTTTGCTGGAGTGTGGAATTCCAAGCTTGAGCAAAGGTATAGATTCTGACTGGATTGAGGGAATGGCTGACACATAGCTATAGAATAGAGAATTAGTTGAGGGATCAGGGTACATGAAAGCTTGTTGGGGTCACATCCTGGAGGCCTCAAATGCTCTGCAAGTCAGTTTGGATTTTGTGATATATAACAGGGAGTTGACAAAGGATTTTCGAAAAAGATTTTTACGTATACTGATTTATTTAAGTATAGAGATAAATATACATGTCAGAGTGTAAACATATGTGAAACACTGTTTTGTAGAGATATCAGCATACTGAATCAATCATGCACGTAGTCCTGTTAAACAGTGTGGCAACATGTCACTAACATTGCTGTGTTGATGTTTGCTTTAAATATGCATATTGTTCTTTCATCCTATCTCAATCTCATGTGTAATCTTACCAAGTACAAAAACAATTGATAAAGCTCAGGGTTAAGTGTATTTTCATATTTGGTAGTATACGTGTCGCTAATTTATACTTTTTATAATTTATAAAATTCTAGTTATTAGTTATTATTAGTTTATTAGTTAAACAGGTTATTTTTAAAAACAGTGTGTGTTGTAGACTTGTCTCCAAATTGTTTTCTTCCGTTGTTATGAACTAACCAACTAGAAGAGGGAATTGGCTACACTTAACTGGAGCAGAATTACCAACTATCTCTAGAATAAAAACAAACAGACAGAAACCCCAGTGACCTGTCACTGTTCTCTTGTTCCCCCTTGTAGACTAAAGTCCAAGGGGAGAAGCAGCTTGAGGAAGGACACAAGAAGGTAACTGAAGACATGTCACACCTACACCTGTATAGTAGTCTTTTTTCTTAGTTTTTTACTTCTAGTCTCTTTATACACATTTATTTTATTATTTTTTTAATAAATTTATTTTTATTGGTGTTCAATTTGTTAACATACAGAATAACACCCAGTGCTCATCCCGTCAAGTGCCCACCTCAGTGCCCGCCACCCAGTCACCCCCACCCCCCACCTACCTCCCTTTCCACCACCCCTAGTTCGTTTCCCAGAGTTAAGAGTCTTTCATGTTCTGTCTCCCTTTCTGATATTTCCCACTCATTTTTCTCCTTTCCCCTTTATTCCCTTTCACTATTCTTTATATTCCCCAAATGAATGAGACCATATAATGTTTGTCCTTCTCCGATTGACTTCTTTATACACATTTAAAAGAATATTCTTTTCTAAGCACATCTTTGACTATGTTAGTCTCCTCAGAATCCCTCAACATCACCAGCTCCATTCCGTGATCTCACAGGGACTGATGTGTTGGAGGACTGTAGGGTACAATGGATATAGCCAGTCCAGGTGATTTCCAAACTCAATAAAGGATGGAAATTTCTAGGAGGGCAAGGAGACAGAGCTCAAGATGGTTGATTGCCATTTGTCTGACTTGTGTGGTTGGACAATGATTGGGAGTTGTAGGAACCAAATGAAAGAACTTGGTCTTTAAAGCTATTTAGAGGAGGCAAGGGAGATGGGGCTGTAGCCTGGAGGCAGAAGAGGCAGAATGATTCTGCTCTTTGTGCACTGAGGAGAAGGGGCCTGTGGCAGAGAGATGGTCAATGAGGGTGCTAGGGTAAGAAAATTTGCCTTAGAGTCTCATGGGCTAGGCTAGTTTTTTCATCTGGACCTCAGGTTCTTTTTCTGTAAAATGGTATAGTAATGATCGTTACCTTACTGTATTATTTAAAGGATTAAATGAGAGATTATTTTTGTAAAACACATGGCCCAGGAGATGTTAACTATTAGAACCATAATTCTAGAGCTTAAGGCATTTCACTAATAAATGTTCTATGGGATTGTCAGAAAGCAACTGAACACGGCACAGTCAGTTCTTAATTATTCACATATTATCTTCAGCAATTTTAAGGTTACAAATTACTTTTCCCATTTTGAAATGGTATGGATTAAAGCAAAATCAAACCTGCTTGAAGATAAGGTGCATTCTAGACTCTATTAGAATTGTTTATTTTTTAAAAAAGATTTTATTTATTTATTCATGAGAGACACAGAGGCAGCGACATAGGCTGAGGGAGAAGCAAGCTCCCTGCGGGGAGCCTGATGCGGGACTTGATCCCAGGACCCTGGGATCATGACCTGAGCCGAAGGCTGATGCTCAACCACTGAGCCACCCAAGTGCCCCATAGAATTGTTTAGAAAGCTTTGAAATTAAGGTAATTGTGATGTATTTTAAATACTCAATTTTTCAGTTTTAAAATCAATTACATGAAAGTTCTAAGGGTTATTAGTATTGCATGGTTAAGTCTTAAATGGGTCAAGTATACGTTTAAGCCTTTCATTGTTACGCCTTTCTCTAATATAAGATCTTAGGAGTTGACTTGGGCAGGTTTTGCATAACATTTGTTAAGATCTACAGTACTGTACACAGTGTTGTAGACTGTATCCCAGACTTTAACTGCTGCCTCATTGAGCCAAATGTATCACAGACAGTCATTGCTGACATGCTTAAAACAACTGGCTAGCAAGGATTTCCTTTGTGTATATCCTTTAAAGCTCTTTGCTCATTGGTTACATTAGACACATCTAGTTCTGAAGGGATATTGAAGAGGGCTTAGAAAACCCTTCTAATTGGTAGATTCAGCACAAT